GGTCATTGCACTATAATTCTTAGGGCTACTTCTGGGGGGGGTTAGGGTTTGGGAAGACATTGCACTGAAACGTTTTTTGCAGTGCAGACAAGCTCTAGGACAGTGATGGCCAAACTTGGCCCGCCAGCTGTTTTGGGACTACAATTCCCGTCATCCCTGACCACTGGTCCTGTTAGCTAGGGATGATGGGAGTTGTAGTCCCAAAGCAGCTGGAGGGCCACATTTTGGCCATCACTGCTCTAGGATAAAGAAAATGTGGAATATGTTGATTCTGTATCTTCTAAAGTACTACTTAATAATTTGAATAATTTTGGAACTCTTCTGTTGCTCCCTAGAAACTTCCATGGAATAGAGATAGCTACTCCACACCTTTCCAAACTCCACAAGAACTGATCTGTTCCTCCTTACGACATCTAACGACCTGATGTGCCATAGTACTGACCAGCCACTACATACAAGGAGTCAGGGAAGGCAAAAGGGCAGTTGGAGATGGAAAAGTTCTGCATATACTCACAACAGAGAAACAAAGATCAACGTACATAGAAGTAAAATTACATAATAATAATAATAATAATAATAATAATAATAATAATAATAAATACTTAAATCTATAATTCATACATTGCAATTACAACATTGATAGCTTATTATCATTAGCATTAGGATCAGGAGGAAGGCAGAAAATACCTCCTTTGAAAGGGATGGCATCCAGGAGAGGAGACAGAAGAAGAGCATATGGCTACAGGAAGAAACACAGGGAAAAGGAAAAATAAATAAAACCAGAGAGCGCAGATGAGAAAAGAGGGGGAGGGTCAAAGAAACACAGCACAGACTTACAAAGCGGGAGGGAAACTCAACCTATTTTTGTTGCTGTTGCAAAGAGAAGGTGCTGCAAGCCAGAAATTCACCATAGACCTGGGTGGTGCCAGCCTTAGTGTTTTGCACCTCAAGTGAGGTCAAAACGGCACATCTCCACCACTTTTTGTTTTTTAAGCTTGAGGGTTAAGAGGCAGGAAAACGATACTTCTCCAGAATCTGCCATGAAAGCAAACTGCCTCCTGGACTTCAAGATTTGCATTACGAACTCAATGAGCCTGCATTGTCCCACAAACACTAGAGCTTGGATTTATGAGGAATTTTTTTAAAGGTTCCTGGGATATTTCATTGGCATCATAAGCAAGGCCAGGTTGTTGTGTCTGAGGGTGGTTGTTTTGTAGTGGGTTGTTTGTTTTTTTTGCCTTACCTTTTCGATAAATCTTAAAGACCTTATTAGCATCCCAGAAGACACTTGTCTCACAGCAAATCAAATGTTTTCATATAATTCTGATTGTCCGTGAGCAGAACCTATTTGCAGTCCCTAGATTCCTACTTCTGAGTTCCCACATGGGGGCTTTGGTTCTCCCACATGCTGCTACTGAGTTGGCAATAATTCTGTGGCAGATAACTGTGTAGTTGAAGCATGAACATCAGATTAGAATTGGAGTCGGAGGTCCCCTGGAGCAATTTCCTAGTTGACAAGAACTGGCGAGTTCAACTAGGGTTGCCATACGTCCAGAATTTTCCAGACATAGCTGGGATTTGGCCGGCTGTATGGCAGCCCATGTTGGACATGTAGATTTTGGTGAATTTCCTTTTAAAAAGCTTGAAATTTAGCAAAAGAAGCTCAACAACTTTTGTAGCTGGATTTTCATTTTTTGAAATATGGCAACCCTTAGTTAAACAGCTAATATTTTTAGGAAAAGCTGTTCTAGGTCACCTGTGGGCTTAACCTGATCCCAATAAAGACAAGGCAAAGATGCCTTTTGAGTTCAACTAAGACAAGCATACAGTGTAATGGCATTTTTCTGATGTTTTCAATATAAGGCAATGGTAGATTATTTCCTGCAGGATACATTCCACATAGGGCTATAGAAAATAGCCCAAATATGGCTTCTAACAAGGTTAGAAAGGAAATAGAAAATGCAAATTTGATTTTCATAAGAAGGGTGAAGATTAAGACTGTGTCTTTCACCATTTTAAATTGCCCTTCTTTTCTTGATATTCTCTTCATTTGAGAAAATCCCCAGATTTTCACCTCAATCTCCACCAATTGTCCTAAAAATTCCTCCCCCCACTCAGATTGGCCCACTTTTTTTCCTGCTGAAGGGAATTGTTGGCAATTTTGCAGCTTGCTGGGAATGCTAGCCTGAATACCCACATATTCTTCCCCACCTTTTCATTCTGGAGGAGTGATTGCTCTGAAATGACAGCAGGTGGCAGCTCTTCAGAGCAAGCAACCATTCATTTTTGTCCTTCCCCACTGATGCTATTAGTTGCTAAAATATACTGTAAGGATTGACTTTGCAGCACTGGCTGAAATCAGATTGTGAATTGAGAAAGTTTCCGTCTGACAGAATGGACTGCAGCACTTTTGTATAAATTTCAAGTGTTCGGTAGCTGTCACGAATTTGTCCTTGTGGTATTTTCTGCACCAAACACTGCTACACTCGTAACACAGAACAGATCTCAAGGGCCCTTGGTATTCACTGAATGCAAGTAGCACATTGTGTCACAGCAAAGATGGCAGCCGACATTGAAAAGAGATAGGATTTTCCAGGTTATCCCTGTAAATATTCCCAAGGGACATGCTGAACACTGCAGTGCCAATGATCTGTGAACTTTCCAAGTGACTGTTTTTAATCCTTGTGGACTTTTTGCAAAAACAACAACAACCAACCTAGGACAGCAATTTAGTTGTGAAAAGCAGATGGGGAGTGACTGCTGAAGACTGGATTGCTTAACAGCCTTATAGATTTCATCCTTCATGTCTACTGCATACCATTTATGAAAGCAGGGCTCCATTATGAACTGTTCTGCCCTGCAGCAATATCTGCTCTGATCACCTGCATGTCTGAATGCTATTCTCCTGTTGGTCCCACAGGAAAAGAGGCACAGGATTAAGTGTTTCTCAAACTTGGGTCCCCATCATCCCTAGCTAGCAGGACCAGCGGTCAGGGATGATGGGAGTTGAAGTCCAACAACAGCTGGGCACCAAAGTTTGAGAAACACTGGTTTAAAACATGGAGTTTCATGCTGCTAAAGGGTTAATCCACCCTTTGGATGCAATCTACTGGAGGAAATGAGGATTCTGAACTTAAAGCATCTGAAAGCATCAATATACATTAAGCACCCAGATACATTAAATTATGGTTGAAGATGTGAAGAGGGATCAAAAAGAAATTCTCAACCTAGGTAACCCATGTTTATCCTATTCCACTTCCCCCAGCCCCCACTACTCTGTCATGCTACTTTCAAAATACTGTGCAGGTCAGTCGGATCACTTCTGAGCTTGCAGCATCTAATATGAAAATATTTTGGTAAAATAAGTATCATGAGGTCTCTACCTTATGTCTTGGTAGAGTACAGACAGCAATTGTTACAGTCAGGAAACAGACAATCTGATGCAAAAACATCATATTGCTGCTCCCTGTGGTTTGTGTTGGTAAGCTCTGAACCTGAGATTTTTATTTATTTTTTGTCTTGTGTAGGATTTTTTATTTTTGTAAAAAAATCACATTTCAACAAGAAAGAAAATGGGAAAAGAAATGAAGTTGCTTTTATCTCAAATAATTTTTTTTCCTCATTTAAAAGCTACACAAACAACCCTGAGGTATTGGCTCAAAAAACCAGCATGTGATAAGAAAGGAGCAAATGCAAAATCAGTTACACAAAGAGAAAAATGTGCTTTCGGCTTTAAGAGAGATGGCTCTAGGCCTGTGTTCCAAAAGAAGGAAGCAGCATTGCAGTGCCTCTGCCAGGAGCTGTTGAGGGAATGTGTTGCTACTCCTCAAAAGGGAAGAAGACCAGTGTGGCCAAAGAGTGAAAATGTTCTTCCCTCCCACTTTTGTGTTTTTGACTGGGAACCTTTGCCCTATTAGCTGAATTATCAACACTCTACTGATTTGCTAACTCATTCTCCTGCTCAAGCCCCCAGGGTCAGACTCCCAAACTTTGGGGGATGAGGCTAAATATTCAGAATGTGAGAGGGATCGACCCTTGGTCAGCTGCAAATGTCCACACTAACCAGAAACACTGGTGCAGCAGAAGCCCGTTGTTCCAGCACCTTTTTGGCCCAAGATGGTCACAGTGCCCTCCTCTGACTCCATAGACTCTAGAAGCCCTCATGCAACTAGAGTCTCCCTAACTCCATTGGATCCATTGCCTGTCAAAGCAGGAAGGGCCCCTTTAAATGAGAATCCTCTCACCCAAAGAAGAGTTGGTTACACAGAGCTGCAGCTCCTACATAAGGTTCAGCATGAGGCTGAATAGTGCGGAGACAACATCTGAGCTCTGCTCTGAGTCTCCAGCCTGCTGTCCAGGGAGCTCTCGCCTTGCCAGAACCTAGACCTTGCCTTGCCAGCTTAGTACCTGCTGGAACCTGGACCTTTGCCTTGTGGGTTGGAGCGACCATACTGCTGAGGCCATCACTTGGAGCAGAACAAGAGACCAATGCGAACAACGTGGCCTCCAAAAAATACTTCGTGCAGCAGCGTTGTGCAAGAATGGTAATATTTCACAGCTACATACCACACAGATCAGTCCAATCACATGGACAGATGGCAACCATGAACGTGATTCGCTGGGGTTCGACTCTCCATGCGATTGGGCCCATCTGCACAGTTGGTGATTTACAAATGTTACCACCTCTGTAGAGAGCCTTCACTGCACTGTAATCTTCCTAGCAACTACACAAAAAAAGACCACCATGTTTCAACCTGCTCTTAGGTTCAGCCTTCCCCTGACCCCAGGTGTTGTTGGATTACATCTCTCATCATCCCAACAAGACCTGGGAACCCTAGGGTGGGCAAGGCTGCCTTAGTTCAACTAGGGGGAACAGACTCCAGCTCATCCTCATCCAGGGCCAGCCCCAATATGAAACGGAACGAAGCAGCCACTTCAGGCAGGAGATTTCTGCCATTAAAGAGTGACATAAGTGGTGTACTTTATTCTTATACTTTTGACCACTGGGATGAGGTGGGAAGATATGGATTATCTATTTCAAGGGTCAAAATACCCTGGGTTAACCCTGTCCTCTTCTCTGTCTTTTGGTGTATATCTTTAGAAAGGTGTTGGGAGAATCTTTCTTCCCTATCTCCGAAAAAAAGGAAAAGAAATCCTGTGCAGGAGGATTTCTTCCAGCCAACCATTCGCCCATGAATTATGCCGGTGGGGACCTCAGGACTAGGTTTCTTTTGTGGGTAATATCACAGCCAATGAATGCGATTTCTCAATGATAAGACAAATAGGTTCTATAGCCAAGCTAATCTCCTTGTGAACACATCAGTTGGAAGATGACTGCTGAAGGTGGGAGAGCTGGGAATGGATCAGTGGGTCCTTTGCACTACAGCTGAAATACTTTCTATCTTTCCTAGAACTTCCTTTCTCAAAAGGCTGTTCAGTTTGGTCTTTTACTGGTTTATATATTTGTCTTTGGACTGTTTTGTCATTGGATGATTTGCATTCGTTATGAAGTCTCTGTATGGCAGCAGCTCCCTGATAGAAAGTGAACATGTACTTCAGAGTAGGCACAAATTTATGATGGAGAACTGAAGCTGGGAAGAAATTCCTGCTTGCAGCAGTAAGTGGACACTTCCTTACTGTGGAATGGATCCCTAAGAACCTTCAATGATTTCCCCCCCTCTAGTACCACAATAACAGAATGCATTCAGCTGGCTAAAGCCATCCTTTGCCAAGGTTTTAGGCATCAAGCATCTCCCTAACCCCTTCCACAAAACCTGATGGAGACTGGGTTGAACACTGTTTGAAAAGAGCAGCATCTGAATGGCCATTCGCCATAATCCAGCCCCCTTCGGAAGGGCAGGGAATGGCCTATTGTCACCATCATTCATCTGGGCGATATCCTGGACTGCTGGAAAGGGACTCATCCTCTGGGAATTTAACCCCCAGCTCCAATACATTTCCTCTAGAGAGAAAATTAAAAAGAAAACCCAATACTCATCAAGCTCTCTTGATGACCCTTCCTGACTTTAGAACGGGACTCTCCTTCTCTTATAAAGGAACCCCGTGATACTCCACCCAGACCCAGGAAGAGAAAGGTTTTATGGCTTTGATTGCAGTTGCGACAGGTGTAGGAAGTAAAGAAGCATTAAGAAGGATTCCTGGCTCAGTTTGTGTTGAACATTTTCTCACTTTTCTTTTTAAATAAAAGTGCACGCACATGCATTCTCTCTCTCTCTCTCTCTCTCTCTCACACACACACACACACACACACACTCTCTCTCTCTCTCTCACACACACACAGATTTCTCATCCCACTTTTTGGGGTGTCTGCGTCACTGACGTGAGTTATAGAAGGAGCCGCAGGCCTAGGATATTGCTTTGAAACTCGTGTTTCAGATTTAAATACCATACACAGTAAAAATAGAGCTGATAAGTACCGCCCCTACATTGTCTGAAAATCATTGCCAGAATGAACAGCTTCAAATAAATTAAAAAGAAAAGTTGAAATATTATTTGTCTCAATAAAAACTGTAGTAAAACCATTTAAACTTTTTTCTTTGTGTTTCTCTCTCTCTCTCTTATATTATATATAATATATATTTATATATGTATAGGGCTGCCGCAGTGCAGCATTTAAGAATTCTAGCCATAGAAACACAAGAGGAGCATGCTCAGTATGGGAAGGGGGACACACACCTAGGGAAGCTATTGAAATTTAGCCCCTCCAGGTTTCTGCAGCCCAATCTGGGAAGGAGCCACCCACAGATAATGTCCAACCCTGATGGAACGGGAGGGAAGCTCTCCCCCTGTAATGGCAGCGGGTGGGTAATATCAACAGTTGCTATTGTACTCTCACAAGAAAAGAACCTGCTTCCCTTTAGACTTCCCCCACTGCAAACCTGCAGATCAAACAACAATAATCTTCTTTCAAGGAAAAAAAAAGCTTTTACATCAGTGGAAGTCTTTACAATGTTAATATCTCCCCTGTTTCTCTTTCACCCCACCTTTGAAGTTACACCTCAGCTCTCCCCTTCCCCCTGCCCTGTTTTTTTGGGGGGGGCGGGCGGGCAGAGAGAGCACTACATGCGAAAGGAAGGAATCCAGGCTTTAAAGAGTTAATACACCCTCCACCAGCCAAAAAAGGGAATGCGGTGTGGTTTTGCCTTGGTGGTGGAGGTAGGAACATAAAGGGGAGGGCACCAAGCATGCACCGTTATGTTTCTTGACTTTGGATTCGTTTAGCTTTGCCTTGCTTCAGCATGTGTGCCCTTTGGAAACGCACACAGGCATATAAATAATCCCCTCCCCCTTCCCTCTCCCTAGTTAAATATCTCGCCAGCCTTCCCCCTCCCCACCCACCCACTGATGCACACACAACTTGCTCTCAGATCTCACAAGGTGAGTGTCAGGACACCTCAATGATTTCCATGCTGCCCGAGAAGCTAGACTGTTTGCTGATTTTGCCCAGGTCTTCCCGAGACCTGCTCTCCGACAGGGTCTCCTCGAACTCCATCTGGCAGCTCCTGCGCTTGAACTGCTTCTCGGCCGCGGTATCCTCGTGCCAGCTGTGCCGCACGTCCCGCGCCTCGCCCCGCTGCTTGTCCCTCAGCCTGATCTCGCAGCTCGCCTGGATTGTGCTGCAGCTGAACGAGGAGTAGGTGGCGGTGCCGGCAAACAGAGCCCCGCTCCCGCTGCCTTTGCCGCCCGCCGCCGAGTCTGTGCTGAAATACCAGGGGTTCTCGGAGGAAGGGGTGCCGGGGGACTCCAAGTGCACCCCCCAAGTGCCGGTGGGGGCCGGGGTGGCGGTCGGCTGCTGCCCCACACCAGGGAGGCCCGCCCGAAGCGTCTGCTTGAGGCTGTCCTCCACGCTGGCGCTCTTGTGCATGGCGCACACCCCACTGAAGTTAAGGCTCAGCCCATGGGCAGGGGAGCCGGCTTGGTGCCTGTGCTTCCGTCTCTGCCGTACTTTGGCCTCGAGGAGGAAGTCGGGCCCGCTGGGCCAGTCCGGGCTGTCTGGGACAGGGGAGAACTGGCATGTGCCGTTGGGACCTGATGGGCTGTCCAGCTTGCACAGCTTGGGGGTTTCTCCTGCCTCTGTTGGACCTGGGGGGTCCTGCTGCGTCCGACTAGGGGTGTAGGCTGACTTGATGTCCAGGGAGAAGGAACGCTTCAGCCGGTTGGTGTCTTGGATGCGCTCCGAAGACAAGTGGAGGCCACGGAGCCCTTGCTGCAATGCTGTAGGCGAGACAACCTTGGAGACTCCTGCTGGCTTCTCGGAGTCAAGCAAGGAGGTCTCCGAGGTTGTGCTTCTGAAAAGCTCCTCAGCCTTTTCTGAGGTAGACAGAATCTGGTGCCTGCAGCCTTCAGGGGCTTCTGGCTGGTCTTGCTGGGATTCCCCTTCGCCCTTCTCCCCTTGGACCTTCAGAGCCTTGAGCCGCTTCAGGCTTCTCTCATACTCTAGGAGCTGACCCAGGAAGTTGAAGTTGGGCGAGATGGAGGGACGCCGGTCTTTCACAAACCTGTTGGGGCAAACAAGACAGCTGCAGTTGTTACTGGGCCCTTTCTTACTTCTAAGGATTTGGGTGCGGGGCGCTGCAGGAATTGTATGCTTCAATGCAGCACTGGAAATCGGCTGGATCTGTTTCCCCCACACACCCTGGGACATCAAGGAGTAGGAGTGTAATGTGACACTTTAAAGATCACTCCTTGTTTATGTAATGGTCATTTCGGACAACCTTCAGACTCACGGCAGTAGCCATAGGATCTGTCTGTGGATGTTGGCTCCTTGTCCCCATACTGCCACGGCCACATGTCACACCAAGGTGCTTCTTTTCTTTCTTTTTCTTCTTTTTTTGCATGTTGCCACTAACAGCTAAACACTTATGTCTGCTGTGAGCCTGCTGGCACATGCATGGGGACCAGCTGGCAACAGGCTGGGAGCCAACCTGCAGATGAGATTCAAGTGGCAACTACAAGCCTGACAGTCATGCAAACCAGCCTGGTAAGCTTACACTGAAGAAACTGGCAAACGAGTAACTGAAAACACAGCACAGGTAGATTATGGGAGGTATCTAATTAAGGTATTATCAGACTAGACCTACTGAAGTTAATGGACCTGAGATAGTCACGTCCATTGATTTCCATGGGTTTACTCCTGGTAGGACTATGATTGGAATCAACCCTATAATGTATATGGCACTATGTTCTTTCATGCTTATTAGCCAGTACTCTTGAGCGAGACCAACTGTAAGTATGCTTCATGATAAACAGCACCACTTAAAAAACAAAAAAGCCACACCCCAAAGTCAAATGCAAAGAAAAACATTAGTGCCTCTCTTTCAGAAGGCAACCTACCTGTAGGCATCATCTGAAGACATTCCCATGGTCTTCATGATGTATGCAATGGCAATGGTGGCCGATCGGGAGATCCCTGCCAGGCAGTGAACGATCACCTGGCAGCTGGACACCTTGGCCTTGTCTGCAGCAGGAGAAAACAGCCTTCAGGTCAATATTCTGGGACTCTACTATCTACGCTGTTCTGAACAACAAAGAGACTTGCAGTGCCTTGAAGGCTCACAAATTTATGTCAGCATAAGCTTTTGTGGACCAGAAGCCCCTTCACGAAAGCTTGACCGTAATAAATCTGCCAGTCTTTTAAGGTGCCACAAGTGTCTTGGTTGTTTTTCCTGTTGCATGCTAACACAGCTACCTCTCTGGAAATGGCTCTGAAGGAAGACGCTTTTTACCAAAATTGGAAGAGTAAATAAAGAGGAAAAACACAAATCTAAATGGTTTAAGTAAGTCAAATATGTGCAACCAAGAAGTGGAAGCTAGAAAAACATGACTTGCTTATTTGGCTTCTTGGCTTGTCAATAATGTTGCTGTTTTATCTGATGAGAAATAGTGGAGGGACTTCCTGGCCTGCAATGGGTTGCTAATAAAGCACCAGATTATTATTCTTTTTTTAAAAAACAAACAAAACAAAACACCATTCACTAGTATATGCAATGCTTTAAAGAGACTTTTTTTTGGTATTTCTCCCACCCTCTCTATTTGCTAGGAAGAAAATTACTATTTGAACTCCCAGTCTCATTTAATCAATCATCTCTGGAACCAGAAAGAGCATAGTTGTTGTTGATAAAGAAAAGCACCTTCATAGAGCAAGAGACATTCTGTAGCAGCAACTGTTCTCCCAAGTGGTGTTAGCTATTCCTCAGGTGGTGCTATGGGTTTACAACGGTCTTGGTAGCTTTGTTGTCTGGGGACAGGATGGTTGTTTTGTACAAAGGGAGAAAGTGTGCCTCCCAAGGGCAGACTGAGTGTTTTGAACACATCAGAGTTAAACAAAAAACAAAAACCAGAAGTCTGTGCATGTGCATGGGGGGAAATGAACCACCCAGGCACTATTGCCCAGATGCCTTTTGCAGCAACCAAGGTTACAGCCCAGAAGAAGTAATGAACTCCCCCAAATATGGTTGATCCGCAGTCTTACCAATGAATTCAATGGACTTGTCCAGCCAGGGTAGAAGCTTCTCACAGTAATTGTCATTGACTGGAATGCGCATGAAGTGACTGTCACATATGAAATCTGGCTTGGGACAAGAGTTGCTGGCGTTGAGGACATAGCTTATCCCATTCTGGGTCATCAGGTCCTGAGAGAGAGAGAGAAGAAAGAGAGAAGCAATGGATGTTTGGCAGTCCAGTGCAGGATGTTTTCACCCACTCTTCCAGAGCCCCTGAGGATGTCATTGCCTCCTCTTCTTTCTCCTCCATTGGCTACTAGGCTGCCCAGCCTGCAATGTATGGCTGTGCTATCACAGAGGGGGGCTGTTTGGGCCGCCAGCTGGGCACTGTTGCCTGAGGTCAATGAAGATTCAGTAAAAACCACTGGCTGCTGCCACAATGAAAAAAAGCAGGACTTTTGTAGGGAAGCCAAGACTCACTTCTAAAAGCAGAGTTTTACAGAAAATACCCAGAGCAAAGTTCTTTGGGGTTCCAGCTCATATTCCATTCCTCCTGTTTTCAGCCACTGATGCCCAATGCTATGCCCCCCTAGAGTTCTGTGGCTCCATTTTCCAAGTAGTCTCTGTGTAATAACTCTCACCTCGGTCCCTAGGAGCCGGCCGAGCTCCCAAGCTCACATTCCTGGCATTTTTCTCCCCCATTTCCTTCTACTCCCTGTGTAAAATGTTCCCCCTTCCCCTCTCAGTGTTTCTAGTTCAGGCACTTCTACCTAACCCTCCCCCCAAGGCAGGAATGCCCAACTGGCTCCCTCCTGCCCAGGATTTGTGCCCACTGGTATGTTCACAACAATTGCGTCTTCTTTCTTCTTCTAACTTGTATTATTTTTTTCTTTCAATGAAATTCTCTTCCCCGATGTGATATCATAGCCCAAACATTCTGGTGTCCTTTGAAAGGATGCTGCCTGTTCCCTCCCCTCTCCAATTCCAGAAGCAGATCTTTGTCCATTAGAGGGGCCTGCTCAAAGGCTTCTTTGCTTGCAGATGTGGGCTGCCGTTCCCGACACTCTTCCTTGCCCTCACCTCACCATCAGTCACTGTTGAATGCCAAGCTTAATACCTCATCCTCTGGCTCTGAGGCTGGACATGGAAGAGTTGAGGTCAGTGTTATTCTTTAGCTTGGCTGGCACTGGGCTCTGGCAAGAAACAGCTGGCTCCCCTGTCATAAAGATCTCTCAGGGTCAACGTTGCAGTTTTGATGCTCCTGCTGCTAATGTCCTTAGCTCTTCAAAAGGGAGCTCACGTCTATAGCTCTGTTTTGCTGCACAATTCAAAAATGGCCCACCGCTGTCCTGATCAGATAATATAGAGCAGGGGTCAGCAAACTTTTTCAGCAGGGGGCCGGTCCACTGTTCCCCAGACATTGTGGGGGGGCCGGACTATATTTTGAAAAAAAAAATGGACGAATTCCTATGCCCCACAAATAACCGAGAGATGCATTTTAAGTAAAAGGACACATTCTACTCATGTAAAAACATGCTGATTCCCAGACCATCTGCGGGCCGGATTGAGAAGGCGATTGGGCTGGATCCAGCCCCCAGACATTAGTTTGCCTACCCATGATATACAGTTTCCCACACAGGTGACCCACCTGCTCTCCCAAGTCTTAGGGGGAAGGGTTTCTTTAAGGCAAGCTACCTCTCCCTCCCCTCCCCACTACTACTTCTTCTTCTTCTTTACATGATGTACCTTATTTAAGACATCTTTCTGGGAGCCTAGGTAGAGATGAGGCAAGATGCGAGTTGGGCCAACATTGGCCACTGGCATGCACGGCTGGGAGATGCTCATTGGCAGGATAGCAGTAGGTTTCCCTTCGCAGAGTCCTGGGAAGCAAGACGAGAAGGTGGCAAAGCCCCCTGGAGAAAGAGAGTGGAGGGAATAAGGTTATTGATCAACTATCCCCATTTCCCCACAAACTGATTTTTTATGAAAATTCTGCAGATAGGGAACTGAATCAGAGAACTGGAAGCAAAGTCCCAAAGTCAAATAATGACCCTGTGGTAAAGAGGACAATTAAACCCCATTCTTCCACACTGAAGAGAAATCTTATATTCTGTTCTTGCATAATATAAATGCATAATGTTACATATTAAGACCTTAAGCTCCCACAAGAGCATTAGATACTAGATGCATATAAAAGCAAGCTCCTTCGCCGTTTGCCTTGGTTACACACGATGGGCTTCTGGTGCCATGTCCCCTTCTGTCCTCTAGAGGACGGGAAAGGCAACAATTCTATTCATTAGCAAAAATAAAAATAAAGCAACACTCTTGGGGATAAGACTGGACCTCTGCCGACACAGATTGTCTGGGTGTGTAAAATTCATCTTTTTATGATTAGTCCCTAGAATCTATAAACTTCCCTGCTCACTTACCTATTACAAAGACAGGCGTTTCACTGGTATCTAATGAAAGGTTAGAGAACCTGTGACCCCTCCCAGTGGTGTTGCACTATAACTCCCATCATTCCTGACCACTGGTCACACTGGCTGGGGCTGATGGTACTGGAGTCCATCATCAGCATTCCCACCCCTGCTTTTAAAGGCTTTTAAACCCGCCTCCCTTGTCACACTTGGCTCACTCCTTTGTTGCAGTCCTGCCGTCTGCCCCCATCCCTTGGTGCATGAAGCATTGTGTGTGGTCTCTCTGCAAAGGGCTAGGGCTCTCCACCTATTACTAGGTTAGCTAATCAACTGACTGAAATAAATATTAACATACTCAAAGAAGTGTGCTGTTTTGTGGATATTGAAATGAAGGCGAACAATTCTGTGGACTAACCAACAACATTGCATCGTTTTCCCTTGGGAAATAAACGCCCTGCTGAAATCCTGAGACATGCAATGCTTTCAACAGTGCTGTCATCAGCACTGAGCACCAAATCGAGTGTGCTGCACGTTCCAATAAAAACCCCACATTTTAAATCTGAGTTTAATGAATCAGCTCATTTATCATATCCATTAATCGCTTCATTCTTTCAGCCTTTACTATAATAGTAAACAGAGGGTGGATTTACCATTCACCATTTCTCTTCCGATCACTGTGCATATCTTTCAGTACTGGGTGTTTTTTTGGGGGGGGACACCAGCCGATTCACATGTGCTGTCTACTGTCAATCCCCAATAACTCACCAACAGGATAAACTATTTTTCACATTACCCTTTAACGTTTTAGGAGGCTATCGCCTCCCAGCTGCATGAGCAAGCAGCATAGGCTGCTTCCAGCCTGCAGATTTTTAAATGATTACAAAGCAACCAAGTATCTTAGTGACGGGAGAGCAGCAGATAAACACACCATGCTAAATAAAATAAATTGAATCTGCAGGGGGTGGGGGTGGAGTAAGAGAGAGAGAGAGAGAGAGAGAGAGAGAGAGAAGAGAGAATGTGTATGCATGTAATTCTAGGAAGGCAGGAAATAAATTACCTGCACTGGAATTTGGCCAGGATGCTATGGGCTAATTTTACTCCTCTTTTATAAATAGCCCCCCTGGGATCTTTAGCAGCCACATGTGAGCAACGCTTGTCATCTGAGAACAGGCAGTTGCCAGTGGTGTTGTTATAGGTTTAGAAGTGACTGAGGGGAAAAGCGTTGCCCAGAGCAGTGTTTCTTCAAATTGCCTACCTTTTGGTACATTTTCTGTGTTGACCTCTCTGCCAAGGAAGCCTTGCTATGGCTGCCGGGATAACCCAGTGTGCTGTAGACAAATTTAGGGCATTTTCTAGAGCACACCCTCAGTTCCTTCAGGGCAGTGGCTGGAGGTGTTGGGTCTCCCCGAGTGAAATCAGAATGTGACCTAGGATACTAAGTTGGGTTGCACCAACAGCACTGCCACCATACAAGTATATGTTAAAAAATAATAATTAAGAAGCGGGACATGCCCCCAAGGTACATTTCATTTAAAGATAGGACCTGGATCTATTAAGATTGAAGACTACTGACCTCAAACACACCCAAGACTTTGCTGAAGCCACATATTCAGAGGGAAGAATTGTGACATTGGGTAAAAGCAGCCTTTCAGGAAAGCCCTGAGTGATCTTCTCATTGAGGATCCTCACCCTACTGTTCCCTCTGCAACAATCTGAAAATCAGTGGCTTAGGAAATCACTCCTAGGATCCTTCGACTGCGCCGGTCTGTTACTGGTAGATCCCTGTCCACCCCCCACCCCCCCGGTCCATCATCCGTAATCTCCAGCTGAATCACAGCATACATAGCTGCAGGCCTTTGTACTTGAAACAGACCTACGTCAAAGTCATGCTGCATTTCAGTAGTCTGCCTCTCTCTTTGTGGCTCCCACGCATGCACACAGAGCTCTTTTCTATTTCATGCCCCAGTGGATGACCGATAAAGCGGCTCCGTGTACAATACTAATTAGGAAAGCGAGCCCATATACTGGGTGGGCGGCTGAGATAGATGGCAGGATCTCATTTCTGAACAGATCACAGTGATTTATTTTTTTCCAGACGCTGCAGAACATGGCATAGCAAGCAGCACCCGAATCAAACAGATCTTGTTCTAACTTAGAGCTTCAGGCTTGTTCTTGTTCTGATCAGCTTCCCAAAACTGAGCAGCAAGGACATATGAGCGATAATGGCTTCTTCTGAAACACTGATGTTTAGTAGCGAGATTCTGTGAAGTTTACTTTCCAAACTGCACATCTTATATTGGATTGACACAACTAAATTGGAAAAAGCTACAAAGGTTCAGTAGGAGGAAATATTTGCTTAAGCACCAATTTATAATACAGTTTGACAAAAAATTGTTTTACAAAGGACTTGTGTTTTCCACCCCTGTGCCAGGCACAATTGAAAAGCCACCTTTTACGTAAAATACTGTTCCTGGCTACTCTTATCAGAAGGTAAAGCCTGACCATACAGTTCACGCAAGCATCTTCCTTGAGACAGCCTTCTGATCTAATGCTTCACAGGGTATATTTTTTGCTTTCTCTGCAGAATCTGGCAACTGACTAAACAAAAAAAAACCCCAATCCCTAAACACTAATAATATTTGTGAACAACACTATTTCTGCTGCCAGATAAATACTAGAAATTTTTTTTTTAAAAAAAAATCACCAAGTCTTGTCCGTTCGGGATGTGAGGAGTTAAATGCACTTTGCAACACCACTTCCTCTGTGGCTCTTTGTGCCATGACATCACCCCTCAACTGGGATATTAAATCAGAATGAACGAAACAAGATTAGCACAGGTGCACATGAGCTCTGGTTACTCCTAGCTGACTCCCTCACCACCCACCCCCCGCACCACAATTGCATCAATTTCACCATGAAGCATAAATTACGGGGTTAGGAAGTGTGTATGTAAGCATATGTAATTCTCCATTTTTTCTTGGTCTGAGGGTTTTGGCGGATAATCCAGGAGTCAAGACCTGGGCATCTGGAAAGACTAGACAAAAGAAGTCATCCTCTACACAACTTGTTGTATTGCTGCAAATGGATGAAGCAGTGTTATGCCGAGTTGAGTCAACTGGTCCATCTAGAGGACAGAACTGTGTATTCTGAGTGGTAGAGGCCCTCTAAGGCTAAGGTTCAAACTAGCTCTGGCAGCTCTGTGCATTTAGATATAGATCTCTCCACTCAACCCCCTCAAGACAGAACTGCAGAAAGAGGGAGTGAATGGTCTGTTTCTAACAGCAAAATGGGTACAGAATCCTTCCCTTGCTTGTAGCTTATGTCCCTGTAGTCCTTACTCTTCAAGCACTTTTCTCAGCTGAGCACACTCCTGCTATTGGAGTTTAGCTGAGAAAGAGAGAACCATCACAGAAACTGTGGACAGGTAAGCTGTGAACACCGGGTTGCCATGTATTTGTCCCTAAAAAACAACCCCTTCCTTCTTCCATGTGGTTGGGGGTAGAGCCACATTTAAGCATACAGGTCTGCTGCCATCAGATCTATTCTGCTCATGATCTTTTAACTGAAGATGTCAGAAACTGAGCCTGGCACCCTTACGCATGCTATTGAGCTATAATTTCCTCCTTCCCTAATGTGTTTTTCTGAATACTCAGAAGAAAAGCTAAGAATAGCCAGCACTCAGCGTGTCAGGCAGGGAGGGGGGGTGTTGTTTTTTTCTTGCTTTTTTGTCTCCCAATAGATTCTTCTTGCCCAGTTGTAATCTGTATTGCAGAGTGATGCGGTTGCCAGTTGTCACTATGCTGTAGGGTGTCATAGGAAGGAGGTCATGTAATGCAGGGTTGTGCCCTAATTTAAGTAATACCCTCTTGCCATGTTGGAGCATTAGCTCTGTCTGAGGGCTCAGTCCACTGGGCACTGCTAAGCTCTTGCACAGCTCCCATTCATTTCAGCAAAAACGTTCCCCTTGAGGTTTTAGAATCTTTGCAGATGGAGAAACATGCCATTCATTTACTTGCCTATTATGCCCATTTTCAACTGGGAGGAATTGGGGCACTGAGAAATCTGCTCAGACCCAGGCTGCTCTTATCTGTAACAGCCTTACTAGAAAATACAGGCGGAGGGAATTTAACTGTCAGCAGATTCACTGCTAGTTTTGTTCAGGAAAATGCAAGCAAGCATGCAGGGTCTATTAAGAATGCCAGTGGGGATTCATTGAGGGAAGGAGGGCCCAGCATCTGATATTACTCTTGGCACACGTCCTCCTATCCCAACAAGCTTTTGTTTCAGAGATACAGCCTCATTATGAGCATGATCTTGCAAAGGCTGTATAAGCTAATTTATTGGATAGAATAAAGAAACATTAAGTCTGCCTGGGTCCCACTGGAACAGGGGTGGGGGTTAAATATTCAATTAAATAGTTAATTTCCTTAATCTAAATGGGGATTTGAGCAATCCTTCAAAGGAATGAGGGGGGGGGACAGACCTCTCAGCCACAA